ACTGTTGTTTGTCCATAGTTCATGCGCCCAATGCACATGTAATAAATAAAATAAATCAAATAAACACATTCGGCACCACATGCAGCGACGTTTACTTCCGGTGTGCATTGCCTACCATGCACACTTTTTGATTTATTTTTTCACATAGTCTAGTGCGTTGATTGTCCTCTAAGAAATGGGGTTGTTCTTGGTTACGGCTTGCTAGAGTTTGGTAACTCAGCTCACTTACAAGTGGGTCAAGTGGCAAACCAGTGAACTCTGGGCTATGAAGCGAGACCTTCAGCACTGGGCCACGGTGGCAATGGTAGCCCACCAGTCAGCTGTGCTTGAATACCAACAATGCATTTACAGCAATCTTCGACCACCCAGAACTCGTTTAGGACATCCCGTAGCACTTTTAATCTGCATATTCGTAATCAGCATTCGAGGCTCTATCGATGTACCTAGGTCTCCATTCAAAGTTCCATGGGAATTTGAAACCATTCCGTTGTTAGCGATCGTTCTCAAAGGGAGATCCCACGATCCCACTGATCTGAGCTCTTCATACGGAGTAGGGTGGACTTCAACGAGAAATCCTGCACAAATATCGTGTCAGAAAGTGGTAAGGTAGCGGCGATAAGGCGCAAGGTTGCTCAAGTGGCTCCGCCCAAAGATATCTCAAATGCTGTCTTGCTAGTTTGCATGCTCTCTAGCTGCTTTCTCTAGTCTCTCGCTTGATATGTACCCAGGTTCTTTATCGCCACTTATTTCACGATCATGGCTACCAATGGATACAGTTCTATACGCGGTCGTGCAGTCCGTTCCGCCAGCGTCTCTGTGCACCCCCTTAGAAACAGTAAAGAGGTGCCCATTTGAAAATGGTTGTGGCGAAAAATTCTCTATGGTGGTGAGCCAGTTGGCACCAATCGCAGGGCACGCCACTGGGAAAATCTTTCGAAAAATCCGCCCCCAATTTCATCCTCTGCTACGACCCCGCTCACCCTCTTTCCCCTCCCCATCCTACCTACTGTCCTGCCTTTCTTGCCAACTCACTTCTTCAAGCTTCCTAACCTATAACTATTATCGAATTTTCCTGTTTTATTTCGCTGCCGAGCGGGGAGGGGGAGGGGATGTAGCAGCAAAGAAACAAAAACGGGGAGGGGGGGGGGGAATGTAGCAGCAAAGAAACAAAAACGGGAAAAATCGCGAAAGTCAACAACCGCACAGCGCGGCAAATTTCTCTTGAAGGCGAATACGGCCTCCTCCTCTTACTGGAATTCTCCCAACGACGTGGATAGCGGCCGTGAGACAGGAAAAATCAACTAGTAGAGAATTTTTTTCTAAGATGAAGTGCAAACAGTGACCAAATAGAACCCCCCTCCCCCAGCGCTTGAGATTCCCCAAAGGACGTGCTCTGAGCACATACCTATTTCGTCGGTAAATGGGAGAACGTAGGCGAATAAGATAGACATCCCACCCTTTTCCCAATGTTTCGTGCCTTTGTCAATCTTTGAATAAGGTGGAATGGCCTCGATGTCATTTCAGTGTTAATGAATTGTCGCGTTATCGTGTGCATCCTCTTTCACTTTCATTACGTCATGACGCTTCTCCTTAATATTGGAGCGAACACTATAGAAGAAGAGCTGGTTCGATTTTGTTGCTATCTTATTCTTGAGCTATCGTGTTCAATATATTAAATTTTATCCTATTTTCAATATTGAACTACATAACTCCACGGATTGTTCCCACTCGTAGGGCTGAAATCCCAGGAGGATAGCTTGGTTACCTTGGGCGAAACATGACCCAGAACCTGTGTTCTTAGACTATTCTTGTAATAACGGCGCTATTTTGCTGCCTCTTGGATTGCTTTTTCACATGTCGTCTTATCTATAGGGTCCTGCAAGTTTTTGCATAGTGCGGAACTGTTGCGATTTCGAGTCAATTCGATGACGTAGGAGGGGGTCTGTTCCCAAACGAGAGTGATCAGCGTCAAGATGTTCTTGATTTTCAGAAGAGAAAAAAAAACTGTTCTCATGTAGCGAGATAACAGAGGAAAGCTCTATCTGCATATTTACAACCATAATTTGTTTTAATTATGATTTGGCTTGTTTCTGAATATTTGTTAGTATCTGCGTTAGTAATTTAGAGGGCCGTTAAAAGTATTCTTGGTATCGAGGTAGTTTAGCAGTGACGAAGAAGTTTTTAATCATTTCAATAGGAGAGACACTCCTTGAAGGTATAAATGCAAAATTTCATTTAGTTATCAGCAATGCTATTCTAGTGATAAAATGATCACAGAGTATTGAGAAAGCAGAAAAGAAAGTTGAGTAAATGAAAAGAAAACTGGGGAAATGATTAGCGATTACTCCTTGTTCCCCAAACCAAAAAATGATCCTCCTGGAGAACGTTTTTCTGACGATGAAGAGCTAGAGGCGGCAACTAAAACACATTTTGAGAACAAGAGGAAAAATACTTTCTTATAGGATGTTGAAAAATTAGTTTCCCGAGCAAACAAGTGCATGGAGGTTATCGGGTGCATTGAAAAATAAATTTCATTAAAAATTTTCTGGCCTCTCCTTCATACCTATACCGAGAATAAACTAAACACCCTCGTATCTGCGTTAGTAATATATGTCGAAAAACAAGTGTTTGAAAACCAATCAAAAGGTCAAAATTTGCGAAAGGCAAAATTTTCTCAGGTCACAAATGTCTCTCAATCGTTTTCATTTCACTCGAATTTGTCGCCAATTCTCTCCAGTTATCTCATGGTTAAAGTCTCATCACCTACCGCGTGTTCCTTCGCAGAAACTTTTCTATTCGTCGTTACAACTGTTTGTTTTTCCCGTTCGAATCTTCGCCGTTTCTGTAGGTTTTGTAGGTGCACACAGCATTATAGTGTAAATTATTGCTTCAGGTAATAAGGTCAGTAATGGCTCAGCATTCCTGCCTATTGTTACGATTTCATTTATTTCCGGTAAGTCATTTTCTCTATGAGTTGAATGTAATAGGTTGATTGGAGAGTCCTGTGACATTCCGAACAAGTTTTTCTAAGAGAAATTCAAGACATCATGGCCCCTGCTTACTGGTGTTCCTAGTGTTCGTGAAAGCGTCAGCAGAGGGGACGTAGGCTTCCCAGGCTCAAGTAACCTTTCGAAAAGGTCAAAGAATCCTTCTGAGTTTACAAGCATGCGCACTGGCTTGTAGAGAAGGCAAAGTTGTAGATAGTGAAAGGTGTGGCCGCTTTCAAGTTATTTTAAGGCAGTCCCCACCCACATGCAATTGAAATATGGCGTCTTTCCTTGTGGGAGTGATCTAGCCCTCGATCGTCGATGTTATCCCACTTTCACGACGTCACATGAAGTAACGGAAGCGCTGCAGCCTCATAATTGGCAGTTTTGACCCCTCCCCAGTTGCTCCGCCCTGCTATACGCTTTTTCTCTGACAGGAGTTGAAGGAACTATTAGTGAGCCAGAGGCGGTAGGATGTCGCCTTGCTGGAATGCGAGGCTTCGCCTTTAGGAACGAGCTGTTTAGTCACTGTCGTAGATACTCATCCTTGCTATGTGTGAGGTGAATGATGGATCCGCAACTGCTGTAACCTGCCTCTTTCTTCGCTCAAAAGTGCCCCCAGGAGAGGCTGGAGAGTAGTGTGCCCGATGCTGACTCCACTCCTAACCGTAGCGGAACGCCCTCTCATTTCTGGTTGTGCTCTACCGCTAGATATGTGTTTCGTTGTGGGGCCTTGGTTTCTGCGCAAGTGCTGCAACTTGAGGATAGCGCGTGCAGAGTATAGAGCCGGTAACGATTATGACTACTCTCCTGCCCAGTCCCCGTGTCCTTTCGAGCGAAGAAAGCGGTAACCCATCTACCTCGCACTTGGAAATGATTATTCCTGGAAGTGAGTGCACCGGTGGTCCTTTGAGGATCGTTGAGGGCTACTTACTCAACTCCTGGAACCAGGTCCTCCCCAGATGGAAGGTGATTAGATCCGCAGGTCACGGTGCCATCTTCTTCGCTCAAAACCGTATGGGAACTGGGTTGGAGGGTAGTGATACCCGGATGTTGTGCCAACGCTCGCGCTGCCGCACGGCCGGCTACACTTGTGACCATTGCCGAACGTGTTTCTTGTCTACGACCCCTCACTAGTTCTGTACCTCTCACTCCTTGTTCGCTATGGAAACTTTCTATCGACGCAAGTGTTGACACTGACGATAGCGGTAGCGAAGCATGGAGACAGCACCCCTGTATCAGCTCCTTTTTCATGAACTTTTGGGGGAGCAGGGGCACGCTACTATAGCTGCAGATCCATTCACCTTGTCCAGGGTAAGGATCACCATGGGAGGTGACAGCAAAGTTTGCCTTCAACATTTCTTGCTCCTTCGAACTACCTCTCACTAAGGAAAAAGAGAACTCACCCACAAAGCAAGAAAATGAAAATTGAAAAAATTTGAAGATGAAACCGACCGTTTTTTCCCGTCGCTGTCACCGGATACCTGTAACAGACGGAAGCTACCCAAGGAACGAAAGGGTATTTGATCACATCAGTGCGACATACGCTGACCAAAAGACGAAGGGGTATCCGACCACTTGGGTGATTGAAGGCCCGGCTCTATGGAGGAATATCCAATGTGGGAACTTGTTCGAAACCTTGCAGGATTTCTGATTCGCTTAATAGCTTTGAACCAATAAATAGCAATGAAGCAAGAGTCGATATATTCAGATTGCTTTATTAGCGGTATGCTCCGCCTATCCGTACGTTTTAAGCTCCGATGACGAGCTATCGTGAGTTTTGCTGTTAAGCGTGTTGTATATAAGTATGCGTCGGATGAACTTTTAAAAAATGTTGACATAATTTTACAGTGACGTCGCGGAACATCCCATTACAAAGAGAGCGTTCGATCGCATCGAGAGCAACGATTTTGGGCTCTTCAAGCGAGCACTCGCGAAACGAGCCTTTGATCGGTACGAGTCGCTTTATTTGAAGACCATCCAGCATTACTTATCTCATTGCCGATAATTTCAAGACTTGACATGGCTGATTTTGGATTCCGACGGAAGCGTGCGTTCGATAGAATAGCACGCGCCGAATTTGGACTCGAAGGCTTCCGCAAGAAGCGAGCATTTGACCGGCTATCAATCGCGGACTTTGGTTTCCGGAAGAAGCGAGCATTCGACCAGTTTCCTGACACAGCATCATATCCAACTCGAGGTCAGTTGTAGAGCAATTCGTGTGTTGGTTGAATTCAAAACTACTTGTGCCATTGTTTGGCACGGTGGATGTTGTGGCTCCATGCGCACTGGCGGCAGTTTTCGCTAAATTTGCTTCTCTAATGTCAAGTGGGCTCTGCCGCGATTAGCGTCGGCACGGTATGGCACAATAACCAAGCCAGTCTGTCAGGTCTTATTTCAATTACCACTTCATAGGTCTGTCAGTTGAGTTGGAGGAGTTGCTGGTGCATGATCGTAAGATATTTTTGGTGATTTTTCTCAGTCCGCGGGCAGAGGTGAAGAAACAAAGCAGGATCATCCAGCACTTGCGCAAAAATAGTAAAAGGAGTGCTATATAATGGAAAAAGTTAATAAAAAGCCAAGTTAAAAGATCAGAAACCTGTGGAAATACCTCTGTTTTGCACGGCATTGGACGGGCATTTTTGGACGAGTTACCCGTTTACGTCGGGCTAACAACCGCTTTGATAGATACGGCTGCATATCTGATCATATCTCCACGCAACAACGCTTTATATCATGTGTATAGTGTAGGTCGCTACGGATTTGGGCTGTCAGGCGGGATGAGTTTGGTGCGCTGCCAAGCCCGTTTCCCACCAGTTCTTAAAGCGAACATATGGTGTGACTGTATCATATAGTTCGTATTACTCGTTTTCTACCAGTAGGCGCGCTTCAACAAGAAGGCAGAGAACGGCATCGAGGGCTGACACTCTCATTCTGCCCGACACGCCCAGCCGTCCGCAGCGAATAGAGTGTACTTCAGAAACAAAGTCTGCCAGCATCGATGTAACACTTTTGTATGCGGGCGGTTGCAGTGGGCGCCATAACGGTGTCCTTGGTTGGAAAAGGCCACACAGTGCTAGTGGGTAGCCTAGCACGGAAAAAGAGTAGTGTCACGAGCCATTTTTCCGTGCTAGGGCGTATCAGCCTTGTACCTTGTCAATTTATTCGTTGCCTTTCTTCAAAGGCAGAGGACACGATTTACTTGGGTTGGTGCACAATAGGTACTTTCGTTTTTTATTCAACCCGTTAAATTTTCGTTTTTTAAAGGATTTGAAATGTTTTTGCTAAGCAAGCTGCATATTATGCTGATAGGAAAACTTCACGTAGTTTTAGAATATTCGAAAACGGGCTTTGGTGCAGGTGGAGATATATTGGTCTGGAATTTTTGTTTAGTCCTTTTGAAGTTTGAAAGCGAAGTCGGCGAAATTAGAACTTCGATCTAACTGCCCTCTTATTTTACGTATAAGTCGAAGTGTGCTAAAATCGCTTAAGATGCTCCATACATGTTCAGAAAAGGGTCGAGCTAGATAGTAACCGGCCAGGGGATGCTCACTAGACGCTTTTGGAACGGATATTTAAAAGAATTTTGGAAGTTACCCAACCTTCACCTCGCGATATTTTGGCAAGCTTTAACGTCTGGTTCAACCTTGAAATTTTCATATACCTAATATTAATGTTTCGCTGATATATTTGCATGGTTCTGATACAAATTGGCGTGCTCGTATAACACTGCTATAGGAAATTGTTTCTCCAGGACGGTGTTGCTCTCTTTATATTCAGTGTTATCATTGGCGGGAACGCGGAAGTCGTGTAGACCAACTTGAGCGTTTCCCGATCTCACGATTTTATGTGCTAACATTTGAATATTTGTCGTAACTTGGGGTTCTATTATGGTTCTTGTAGCCAATTTTTGTCTCTATAACAACTGCGTTGCAGTTTTTTGAAAAATCCATTTGAATAAACCTTGTTGTTTCAGGTGTCGGATAATGTGGGAATGGTCAGCAATCGTATAAGCAATCGAAGCAACTTCAAGAAATCTCCGGCCTTTTCGCATTCAACAAGAAGGTATCAGAAGCTTGCTTGGATGCTGCTTAGGAAATTCAGCGAAGTGTACGGGAGAAGATTGCGCCTCCTCTCTCTTCAAAACAGGCCCAAATAATTGGTTTCAGACGCTTCAAGGATTGGTACTGAACCGTCTGTTTGAATCGCGGAAAAGGGGCGGAGATGGTCTGAAGTGCTGATGCTTATCGACCTGACATTCCATATTATCCACCTGAAAAACAAGGTTTATCAAATGGATTTTCAAAATAACTGCAACGCAGTGTTATAGAGCACAAAATTGGCTACAAGAACATATAGAACACATTAGCGAAATATTCAAATGTTAGCATAAAATTCGTGGAGAACGGGAACCCTAGTTCTCAACGACTTCCGACGTTAGCGTAATGATTAAACTGACTTGAAACAGGAAGCAAAACACCTCTGGAGAACAGATTTCTTATGAGTTGTTTATTAGAAGCCAAATTGCTATCAGTAACATGCAAAACATATTCCAGCGAACATTTCAAATATTAGGGATAAAATTTCAGGTGGCGAACAAAGACGTGTAAAGCTGGCCCAAATATTCGGCGAAGGGTGAAGGTTTGGTCAATTCAAAATGTCTTGAATTCAGTTCCAAAAGCGTCCTAGTGAGATGTTCCCTTGCTGGGGAAACTTCTTAAGCTCGAAGCTTTTCAAATGTAAGGTCATCAGTTTTAGCGATTTTAGCACTTCGACTATACGTAAATAGAGGCAGTTGTCGAAGGTGCTAATTTTTGCCGACTTCGCTTTCAACTTCAACGACTAAAAAATCCACAAAAAATATTTCCCCTCGAAAACCAAAGCCGTTTTTTGATATTCTAAAACCTTACGTTTGGGAAGTTTCCGTTGGGTGTGTCAGGAGTGATATCAAGTTTGCTAGCAAGAGACACGCTGTCATCTTTGGAACGAAATTTTTTTTCCTGTTTAAAAAAATACGAAAGTAACTTATGTGCAGACCCGAATAGAGTTGACATAGTTTGTAGGCGCTGTTGAAATCATGCTAAGAACGGAAATTCGCCCGGTTCCGTGAATCATCTGGATTGCTAGGGTCTGTGCATGGCCTTGTAAATAGATGGCTTTTGCTGAGGTGTCTAACGGCAAGGGCTTTGAAACGTCTGCCCAGCGACACTGCTTCCTTACCGTAGTTAGGTCGGCAAGACGGCGATGACTGGTGGAGCCTATTTCAGGGGTGTGTTTCGGCCTTTCGAGTAGCCCGGAAACCACTTCTTGGCGAAACCCGAACCTCCGACAATGGCAGCACGGCCAGCACTTAATCTGGTTCGATTCAAACTGTTTTACCATTACAACCTGTGGCTGATTTTGCGTTGACCTCTTTCATTTTCCCTTTCTTGTTTCTTCTCGTTCTTGGAGAGTTTAGGGCAACGATTCAATTGGCTATAATTTGCCGGACTAATCTCGCTCTTAGTCGAAAGACCTCGACGAGTACCAGGCCCTTCTTTTTGAGGGACACAGCCGCGCGTAGCAAAAGAGGCACATTTCTTGGGGGCATACTTGCCAGGTTTCCTGGCAAAAGTAGTTTTTTGGGAAGTTTCCACTTTCTTATCATTTTCCAGTTGCTGCTTACTTGTCTACCTTCATTAGGGCAGGCGCCACGAGAATTCTGTCCTAAAGAGCTTTCACCTCAGAGAATGGTAATGTAGGGAGGTAAAGCACAGGGTTGCTCAAGTGAGTCTGCCAGAAAGTCTGACTCCCCAATTGATAGACGTCTTATCTGCTATCTTGCTCGCTTGCGGCTATGCCGCTGCTTTCTATGACCTCTTGCCCAAAATCCACATTAGTTCTTAATCCCTCGCCTGCGCAAAGAGGACCTTATTTGGAGTGTTTTTGACGATTTCCTTTTCGTTTTCCTTCGCGGACAAGCAAGTAGCACATACATTTTTGTACTTTACTTTTCCAGCCCCGCTCCATACTAATGTTCGCTGATTCACCGCGAAGACTACCTTTGATCCCCGCAACTTCCGCTTTTTGTAACAATGTCACTAGTATTCCCTGTCTGGAAAGGAGAACTTGATATCGTCTTGAAGTTCAATCCTACTTAAATTCACATTTACATCGCAATCGCTGTGATTGTTCTGAACTGGACGTTGGCCAGCTTACTTATCTCAGGTGTAAGCTCGTGCGCCTACTGTTGGTACGGTCCCTAGTTCGACCGTATTCAGCCGTTTCGTCCCAATTTCGCACTGCTCTTGTTGATGCATCTACCTCCGCTTTTTGTGGGAACCAGTTTGTTGTGCTTTTGCCTTGGGAAGTAGCTGTCACCACCGTTACATATGTTGCAGTAAGAATGCCCCAGTTTGCTAAAAGCAATAAGCTCTGAGGAAATCTAGGATATCCACTCCTGAAAGTCATTTAACTGGAAATGGTTTGACTCCTCCATATCGGACCTCTTTTGCGCATAGTTTTTTTTTCATTACTAATGTCACATGTGCCACAATTAGTTCCACTTTGCAAGAGTGCCCGTTGCTGAGCTTTCAGCAAGGAACTCGCGAAAGCAGTTACGACTTTGCTCTCGACGTTGAAGATCACGAGTCCTCTAGGTCCTTTAGTGTCTTTGGATGCACCGTTATTGTAAACGTTACTGTAATGATATGCATATAAATATCTCTAAATTGACTGTTACTTTTGCGCTAAACGAAATTCTTCATTCCCTATAGTGTAAAACTGCCGAACCTTTGATAAAGCACGACGTCTGAGCGGATTCGCTAACATCTCTGGATCCACTTGAGTTCAGCAAGTGGTGGAGCAGCAGCTAGAGTTGAAATATAAAAAGCTCCTGTAAAATGCATCCCTTGTGAATTTGAGAAACAACTATCTTTACAATTGTGGGTCGATTTGAATGTGAACTACAGTTTCTATACTGGAGCGCAGCCCGAACAGCCTTCTCCACTCACTGCAATGGGCTCAGAATTGTGTTACCGGTATAGGGTCGCCCTGATTGCGCCCCAATCCACGCCACTCCCAGATCATCTCGCTTGTAGAAATGATGACGGCACATCCACCGCACCATTCCCTAGATTGCGAAACGAAGTAAGGCTCAACTACTTTCTGCTTTATTGTTTTATGATTCGAAATAAATCGAGCTAATAGATCTGTATTGGAAAAGTACATCAGATCTGCGCTCTTGTGTCTCTCACTAAAGAACGAAGTTCGAGTGCCTGGAGACAGACAGAACTGACAGAAAGCGAGCATGTACAAACTTGTCCCTAACGTAATTATGCAATTTCATCATGTATCCTCACTCTCGCCACCTTAGAAGGGCGAAATTTGCGGTGCTGAGTGGCTTGGTGGAAAAACTTGGTAGATTTGAGAAAAAGTTCACGACCGTACAGGTGGAGGTAGCGTGAATAGCCACCTAACTACCCTCACCTTTCATACTAGAAGAAAACTATAGAGAGATGAAAACAGGTGCTCACGCCGTTCCGTCTGGCTGATTATGGGTGTCTTATTCTCCTTTATTCATCTAACTATTATTTTCAGAGGAACTGATAGACGAACTGGCGATTGCGATGGCCGCAATGGGCCGTGCTACGCCGGTTGCGATTTCAGTCGTATCACCCGTTGACAATCAAGAATAGAACACATTCATCTGCACATAGAGATAATCGCCCTTTTAACGCTCTCGTTAAGCAGCAGCGCACCAAAGCGTTCATCTTCCTAACCATATCAGTCCACTCGCCTCTTTATGTTCTCTCTGAATCTCGTCACTTTCCTTTATCGATTCATTCTCGTCCATGATCTCCACATTTTATATCTTTGTATTCTCACTCTGTTTCGGTGACCAATCTATCGCTAACCATTTTGGATTGAACCGAAAGAGAATATGCTGTTACTGTCGCATAGGATGATATGTTTTAAGTGATAGCTCGTGGTATAAATTTATCACGTATGCGTACTGATAAAGCTTTGTTGTTGTACAGTTTTTTTCCCAAATGAAAGCATAAAATTAGACCGTCCGTGAATGGTTCGACAAACTAAGTCTGGCCACATCAAAGCAACAGCTTCTGTTGAATCTGTCGAATGGCCCGGCTAACGCCGAGCTCTCCTCCTTCTCTCTGGGCCGGCCTCGCCGGGTTGGCTGGCCTGGGTTCGCACGCCGCACAACACCTTGATTTGTAATATCCTGTTGAAGTCCTATTCGGAATATATGGTGCATCCGTTGTTCTGTCCAAGACTGGCAGAGTCTTTCAAGATGAAAACAGTATTGCAAATTCTGGTTTTATATCACTCATCCTAACAAAACTGCAACAAGAACCCTGATTATTCTCACTTGAGACATCGGTCGTCGACTTGCTCGTTAAAGATATGGAGAAAAATACAGGGTTATGAGACTGTAGAGCTATTATAAAATCAAAACCTGCAAATGGAACAATACCTACTTGATCCGTTTCGTACATTTTTAGTAATATATGGGGAAGGAAGTTGAGAGATGTAGCTTTTGTTACCGAGAACAAAGCTCTGACTATTCAACGGTATAAGGGTTAGCATTAAGAATGTAGGTCAAGATAAACTGATTCTACTCAAAACTCTATTGATTAGTTCTCAAATTTCTGTATTCGAATTGCTTCCAATTGAAAGTGTGTGAAAAACTTTCGTACGGAACTTGAAGTAATTGCAACAGCGTCCGTGATTTACAGGTGAATGGTTAATCCATCTCCCAAAGATCGCCGCTTTGCCAAAAACCTTCTCCACTCGACAAAACTTCGAAGATTTCGGAGGCAGGCGTCTTGATGCTGATAATACAAATAGAGATTGTTCTTTCACTAAGCTGCCCATATAGCGCTGTATTGATCAAATCGTGATAGACAGGAGAATCCTCTCCTGAGTCCGCTCTTACACTCTAATTCGATGCGGAAGGTAGGCGTGTCAGCCAGTATGAGTGTTCACACCTTC